TTTAACCACTTTTTAACCTTCGATTTATAGTGTCTGCATAGGTATGCTGTGCTAGCAACGCCAACATATAAACTAGCGGATTTGGTTTAAGTTTGAATGTTTTAGGATCATCTTTTAATCAAACTTCTTAAACTCTAAAACATCAACTTTTTATTTACAAAGACAACACAAATCAAAATTAAAAGCAAAAAAAAAAAATGTATGATGGTTCTAAAATTTATATTTTAGGACAGCTAGCCTGATATTTGATGTACCTTGGAAACATCTGAACAAAATGTATAAGCAAATTATATTCTGACTATTTATTGATCTTCATTCATCCATAGTTTTTCTTCCTGGTTCTGACATATTGTACTTCAAGAATCACGGATTGCTCCAGATGGTTTTGTTTTCCTTTCAATCGGAACCAAATGATGTTTGTAGCGAATTTGCCATGCATGCTGCAGTCTTGTAATTGACTATTTGGTAGGCGTGCATACAAAACAGCTGATCTTTAAATATGTTTAAATAAAATGCTTCATAGAAAAAAATCAATGTTCATATCATGAACGGATTCATGTGATTTAATTTAAATATACACAGCGACACCAACATTTACGAATTTTAACAGTTATGAAACCTGGAACATGTGGAAGTAAAAATCTCTTTTCTCCTTTCTGTTGTTGTATTTACTATTCTGTATTACTTGCTGTACACAAGATACATATAATGGCAATTTTGTATTTGATACTTATATTGTCAGCTGGCAATTCCGCTAGGGCGAGCTGATATTTGAGCTGATGAAGTCAGTATCAGAAACTAAAATGCCATTCTTCTTTTTATCGTCAATTTGTCTTAACTATATGTTTTTTCGATTGCGAATATCAAGTAAAATGAATTTGTAAGTTAAAAAACTTTGACGCTTACAAAACGTGACATTACTGCAGTGATACATGACGTCATCGCCTAATATTTTCAAGTATCAAGTCCTATTCATTATCTAAAAAATATAACATGTATAAGGCCCAAAGGGAAAATGTACAAATTGCTGATAAACCAAGGTAGTTGTTTGAATTCAGCATAAACTTTACAGAAACAGAAATCATTGAGTTCAGAAAAAAAATACAATAAAAGTATTATTTCACTAATATGACATACAGATGGGCGACGGACGCAAAGTAATGACACTTTTTAACTAGGCACTGATGAGAAGCTCAAACTGTAATTTGAAAGATGGGATATTGTGTAGAACTGTATAATGCATAATTGATTATCAACACAATGTTACACAGTATTCGTCTTAATTAATTGCTAACTATAACATGTATAAGAATAATTTGTTTTCCAGAACCAGTAACTTGCAAGGTCCTTGTGTTTGTAGATTAAATGGCTACTCAGACCCCAACACCAATAAAAAGCTCAATTCCGGTTGATTTAGAGAGAAGAATACGTGAAATGCAACATCCGTCATGTAAGATGATTTGAAGTTTTAAATGTCTCATTTGTGCATCTTTAGTCTTTTTAAAAAAAAATATCAATTACATCTACACAAAATTGTGGTTGTTTATATATAGTTTCTTTCACTCCACCGAATGTGATACCATATTTTTCCACTCGAAACAGTTAAATTTCCAATGCTCCGCAAAAAGATTTGTTCATCAGGCATGCTCGGCTTTTTTCATGACGTCACAATTGGAAATTCAGAGGAAAGAATATAGGACGTCGTTATTGAGTTGTGGCTTATAAAGAACGAAGATCAAACGAAAATAATTAACAGGTCAGGAAAAAGATAAATCAGCGAAGAATTTCAGAAATAGAGTTTGTACACGTGGTTAACTTCGCATCAACACAGCTTAGATTTAGTATAAACATGAGAACTGTTACGATTATTTTGATTTTAACAAAACTATTGATAAACATTTCCAAACATTATATTAAAATTCTATCAGGTCCGCCAGAAGACTTAGAAGACAACGAGAAAAGATGGCTCGTGGTTGGTATTTGTTTGCATAGTATTTTATCGCAAGCTTTACGAAAATATGTGGAGCCTGTTGTGACGAGCCTTTACAAATCACTTAAACTCTTTGCTCAGACTTACCCAGGACATCTTCGAACATATGGTGCAGGAAATGTCTATTTAAATTATGAGCCAATCAATAACAACAAGACAAATCATGGTTATCGTACAGTTAATTATGATTACAAAGTACAGAATGCAGTGGACTTGTCGAAGCTTTTCCTCCAAACAAACATGGTACATTATACGGCGTTTAATGAGTCGTGTGATTCTTCAGCTCTGCTTGGGATGATCATTAGCATCGACACGTTTCCTATTAATGTACAGACGGCTGCAAGGGACGTAAGGATATGCATATATATTGTTATTTAACGTTTTTTAAATTCTTTCATGTTTATCTAAATCTGAATATGCATTTCACATATATCAGTACATTGATTTGATATGAAGACTATTACATTTTAATACAAGTGATTTTACCACCTGGATTTTGAATATACTATTATTCCTTCAGGAATAAGCACTTTTTAGATACCAATTTGAAATCTACACAACATTGTAAACTGATAAAAATAGCGGATTGCACTTATGATACATGACAATTTACCTTAGATAAAGGAATATTATTCCTAGGAGATTCCGATTTTGTATTTGTTTGACGAGTATGCGACTGAATTGTGAATTATCATTACGAATATCTCGTTGATATCTTTCGCTTCTCTTTTTTGATAAATCAATATTGCAATATTCATTCCAAATTGATGTTCATGATTAGCAATATCTGCTCTTGTTATGCATTGGGATTTTTTTTAAATTACTTTCTATTTAGCACTTTAGTTTAACGGAAGAATTATTGTATTAAATTTGTCAATATTGTATAGCTTGAGGGAACTTTAAAATAAAAATCATTTTTCCGCCATAGACCTTACTTTATTTGTAATGCAGAACTTTCAGGAAAAACAAATCATCCCTTTTTATTTTCAAAAATTGTTGTTATAATTAAGAAAATAATGATAGTTTAGTCGATATCCTTATTATGTAATGAAGTATTCCTTACTGTAAACTAAGAACTGTGCGGATAGTAAGGATTTCTTTTTAACCCATAAAACAAATTTTCCCGCAACATCTAAGTTTGACTGTTTTTTTTTATTAGGAACAGCGTCAGTACTTTGTCCATATTAACATAGTTAAACTAACCTTCGTTCCTTTTTCTTTTCTTTGAACAAACAAGTTTGTACTTTTATAATAAGAATATGTATACATTCTTTTAAACTGAGTTTTACTGTGTTTATTGCTATGTGTTTCTTTGTTCTACATGGTCTAGATGTATAGAGGGAGGTTTGAGATCTCATAAAACATGTTTAAACCCGCCGCATTTTTGCGTCAGGAGCCTCTGGTCTTTGTTAGTCTTGTATGTTTTTTAATTTTAGTTCATTTATATGTTTTGGAGTTAAGTGTGACGTCCATTTTCACAATTTTATTAAGGGGCCAGTGGTGGACCACCTCCGGGTGCGGGATTTTCTCGCTGCGTTAAAGGCCTATTGTGGGCCTTCGGCTGTTTTCCGCTCTTTGGTCGGGTTTTTGTCTCTTTGACCTTTTAACCATTTCCATTCTAAATTTTATATATATTTGATATCTTCTCCAGGTTAGATCAGCTATCAGAAATCCTTGGGCTCACTGTAATTTCACGGAGTGGGATACAGTGAAGTTTAATTTGTCCTTACAAACAATTGAAGATTTGATTTATCTTCTTAAATTAAATGGAATTGATGAGAGTCAAATCATCAGAGAACTAAACAAATGGAGAACAAATGGTAAATATTAATTACAGTATTTTATTTGAAAATTAAACGTTAAAAAATTTAGATCATCTTTTTTTTTCTTTTTGACTTTTATTTTGTTAATTTTTATTTCGGACGAATCCACTTTCTTATTTAATGTTATAGAATAGATTATTTCATGAAGATTATCTTCTTTAATTTAAAACTTTTTTGTACTAGAATGTTAACATCTTTTGAACTATGTTACGATTTGAAAATTAAACGTTAAAAAATTTAGATCTTCTTTTTTTTTCTTTTTGACTTTTACTTTATTAATTTTTATTTCGGACAAATCCACTTTCTTTTAATGTTATAGAACAGATTATTTCATGAAGATTATCTTCTTTACTTTAAAACTTGTTTGTACTAGAATGTAAACATCTTTTGAATTATGAAAATTTTTCGTTCTTCACCGTCTTAAAACAGTGTGTCGATTCTTTTTAAAACGTTAACAAATGTCATTCGCTTTAAAAAAAAATCGATGAAAAATTAAGCTCCATGAGAACTTTCATGAGGAACCACCGAAAAGAAGACTTTAAATCCAAAGCTTTGTGGTGAGAGGCGAGGTTGCTACACTTCTGGGAATATTTGTAAGAACTCGTTGAGGGGTCCGTCGTTGAACTGCTGCAATGCAATCGATTAACCTTTATCAATTAAACCTACATTTCTGGTGTCTGGTCGACTTAACTTGTAGCACCTATCTATTTGTGTCAGTTCTAAATTTGGTTTCGTCCTGAAAATGTAAAACAAATATTAGCTACAGTATTATTATTCTCATACATAAAAAAAAATTATATAAGATATAAATGTCCATCCTACTGTGATTCTTCTGTTCTACTCTATAGCACCCCTTTTAAGTATATTTCTTATAACTGTACGTTATAAAGCAACAATCTATTCATTTATACACAAAATGTTTTCACTATAACATACGATTGCATGGAGATGACCGGATAACTGGTAACTACATCAAATAATTTGGACTATTACATTTTTTATTTTCCGTTGAATCCTATCACAAAACGATTCTAAAAATTATTTCGACAAAATCGTGTTAACATAAAACTTGATAACAAATGTAATATAATCATTTATTATTTACAAATACACGCAATGTGTATCAAATGCTGTTCAGTTTTGATTGGTTATTCCTTTGATAAATGTTATATTATTATTAGGTACAAGCTTATTCCAAGGTACAACTACTGGTCTTGAATTAGTCGATAATATTCGGCAGGAGATACAAGCATTAGTGGAATATGCAGATGTTATTTGTAAATCAGCTGATACAGAGTTTTCAAGAGTACACACAGAACTCACAGAAATAGGGACAAAGTTGGGTCTGAATAATGAGAGGATCTTGAAACTTGAAAATGTAAGTTATAATAGCAAAAGAAATATATATTATCAATTACCCTTCAAATGAAAAATATAGAGTGAGGATCTATAGCTGTAAACGAGTCCTCTCTTGGAATGTTAATGTTTGATTCATTGACATATGTTTGAACAAAACTGGTTGCTTGTTTATAAATTCCAGCAAACAACACAATCGTGATGCCTCTGAATACGGCCCGAAATTTTATCATGAGATTTTACTACTATTTGATACATATCATATTGAAAATATTTGGACATTTTTTCAATATATATGAACATCTTCAAGTACAAAAGATGTATAAATGAAGTAAAAGTATATCTGAAAAGAAGTCTAATCAACTGAAAATCATGTTATTCTTACATCAGGATTTGTTTATGTTTTTGGTGTCAAAAGGTGCACTTTAATTTTGTAGTATTTGTTGTACTTTGAACTTGAAACGATTTGAATGGAGAGTAACATTAGTACCGCAAATACTGTATAGTGGGTTATTTTCGTGGGGGGTTATTTTCGCTTATTTTGACGGGTACGGAGAAATCACGAAAATGTATGCATACGTTCGGTAATTACTAATAGCTACAACTATCTTTGCAACAACTATGTAAACTATCTTTTTCCCCCGTTTGTCGGATCAATAATGGTTTATGTTAATTTAAACAACATAAATGCAAAGACAATTGTTCTCTTGCTATCATGTGTTAACTAGTCAATTGCTTACATAATAAAGAAATTGATAATTTAAAAGTGTATCAGGTATTTTATCCTTATTATTCATTTCCAAATTATATAAGAGTTGCAAGTCACCCATGATAATTTTTATGATCTAATTAGTACATCAAAGGTCCGGTAAATTTCGTAACTAATCAAAGAGGGACGAAAGATACCAGAGTGACAGTCAAACTCATAGATCGAAAACAAACTGACAACGCCATGGTCAAAAATAAAAGACAAACATACAAATAATAGTACAGATGACACAACATAGAAAACTAAAGACTAAGCAACACGAACCCCACCAAAAACTGGAGTGATCTCAGGTGCTCCGGAAGGGTAAGCAGATCCTGCTCCACATGTGGCACCCGTCGTGTTACTTATGTTATTACAAATCCGGTAAATAGTCTAATTCGGTAGGTCACATTCGTGAAAAGGGAATGGTATTGTAGTTACGACATAAGGCACATATCCGATATCATCTGTGAAACGGTTATTCCATATCGGTCAACCAACTCGTGATGGCGTCCGTAAAATTTACGAAGGGAAATACAAGCCCGGGAATATAGTATCAATTGGGAGATATATACTCCGTATGCAGGCGCTGAATGTTGCTACATAGAAATGGAAAGTTCACAATTTGGCAGCTGAAATCATCTCTTTTGTCGTAAAGTTTTGTTTTCAACCGACCCTCATTGTCAATTTCTAGATGTAAGTCAAGATATGAGGCAGACTTAACTGTATCTGTAGTATCCTTTATCTCTAGTTCGATTGGAAAGATTCGTTCGATATAGTCACCAAATTTTGTATTATTTAGTGAGAGAACATCATCTATATAGCGGAACGTAAAGTTAAAGGATATTGCTAACTTCTTATCTTTCTTCCTAAGAAGTTCCTGTATGAAGTCAGCCTCATAATAATAAAGAAACAAGTCGGCAAGAAGAGGGGCACAATTGGTTCCCATTGGAATTCCGACAGTCTGTTGAAAAACACGTCCTCCAAACGTAACAAATATGTTGTCAATCAAGAAATCAAGCATTTTGATAATGTCAGTTTCAGAGAATTCTTTACAAAGTAGGATTTATCCCTTTCCAAGACAAGATACTTGTATCTACGTTCGCCATTCTTTTTAATGAAACAAAGTAATACCAACTCTTTCAATTTGTCTTTAAGTTTGGAATGGGGAATACTTGTGCAAAGTGTAGAAAAGTCAAATGTTTTAATACTATTGCAAGATGAGAGAGTCTTAGATTGTATGCACTCTAAAAGATCAACCGTAATCTAAATACCTGTATTCTATTGATTAACTTTATCAAAATATAATCAATAAATAAAGCTTCATGCAGTTAAAAGAATCATTTAACCATAACACGTGTTAACTGCAACCATTTCAGTATCCGCCAAAATATTTAATTGGGATTAAAATATCCACCTAAATAAAAACCGTCAAAATTTTTTGTATACTTTGTTGCCCCTAAATCGCGAATTTGTATACCCGCAAAAAAAAACCCGATATGCGGTATATCGAAATTGAAAGTTTGTCGGTGGTTATTTACTTTTAATCAAAAGCTGTTGCACTTAATTTGCATTATTAAAAAGGATAGATAGCCTTATTCGTTTCGAATTCTAATATAGAAAACGCTATATATTTTACAGTACAAATTGTATGACATTTTCTGCATACATTAAGGCGACATTTAAGTGAAAGATAAAGCATATGCATTGACTAAATTATCATTGATTTTTCTGTTTACATTTGCATTTCTGTCATCTTCGGGTTTATTGTACTATGTATTATTAATTATAGGATTTATAAAAAATGGTGCAGGCAATTCTTGTGCAATCAAAAGTTTTACATAACATCGTAGAAAACTTCAGATGTGGAAAGAAATCAATAAGTGAGGCACATGTCGAGTTGAACATTGACTGACATTATTTGTTCCCATACATGTTTCATTTAAGGGGGCTCGAGGGTATAAATTCATTTTTTTTTCTAAATATAGGATTTCGCTATTATTTTGTATAAATGAATTTTATCATATACTTAATAGAAAAATAGAATAAAACAATGGGGTCACCGTTCATTTAAGCTCACAATCTGCCTTCGAACGAAGCATACATTTTTGTTAAGGTACTTTTTTTCTGTAGGAGAGATAGAGGTAATATCGAAATAAAAAAGAACTAAATTACAGAAATCGCTTATATTTTACATTTGTTAAGTCTAGGTACAGTTTATTTGAAAAAAAATGATAAAAAATATAGGTCACCGTTGAGTTTAAAACGATAGTTCAATTTATTGCAAAAAATGGCATTTTTGCACCAAAGGGAGATAATTTGGAGATTTTTCAATGATATAAACATTTTAAAAGTCATCTGGGGTCAAAACGAATTGATTTGTTTGGTTGATTTTTGTACCATATCATAAAGTAACAACTAACAGTGTAATAAATAAAATTTGTAATGAAAAACAAATGTTTAAAATTTTGCTGAAATTTTTGTATCAAAGAACTCTATTTGTTGGCGACAGGAAATTGAAATTCACTCCAACTATAGTGTCTTCATTTATTGTGCCAACCGGACTAACTGAAATCTAATTTTTTGCCAATGACATTATACTAGTATATCTTGTGGTTAACAATATTGTAGCCCTGTAACTGTAAAAAACAATTCGCAATAGTCCCTTAATAATTTCCATACCGCGTTAACTGATTCATCTTCTACATTTCGGGTATAAATGTTTTTCAATACAAGTAAATCCATCCGTTGTTTCTGTTATGGGAACTTCCTTTCACTGCAAGTGGCAACGCATATTTTCCTGGCGTCCATCCACAGGTCACCGCCACTCTGTCCTTTTGTATTAAAATGTGTTTTTGTACCTTATCAATCGTCAAAGTGATGTACTTCTGAACTTATATTTAACTAAATAAATATAGGACATGTTGCTGATTTAAAATCACACCATTCCGGCCATTTTGTTTTCCACATAATTAATATAAACATTAATTACCAAGTTCCTGGTGGAGTCCGAAAACGATATCAATAGTATATGCCACATGAAGTTTACGGTTGTATTTAAAAAAAAAACCATGACAGAAACATTTTGAAAGCAGAGAAAACTGTGCATCGCAGAATCAGCATGACTTTATCACATGATAATACGAATACTAAACATTCAGACCAAATATAAAGGCTTAGGTATTTTAAATGAGTCAGAGACACAGTCACTGTGTTTTAGTAGTTTTATTACATGGCATACACTAACTTGGTTTAGAAAGGTGCATATGTATTACAAAAAATACATAAGAACCTGATTGACCAAATTTTGATATTAGGATAATAAGGTTTAATTTGGATTATGCTATAGCAAGGTTATTATGAAGTAAGATTGTTATCATGATTTCAAATGTTTTATAGTCGCCTTTATGTGTTAATTGAATTATACGATATCTCAGATATGAAGCCTAATACGAAGATCGGAATTCTAAAAAAGAAATGTGTACTTTTATAAGTCCTGAAGTGTTAACTGTACAGTTTGTGTCATGTTTTTTGTTTTAACCATTGACCATGGCTTTAACCATCGACTCATCTGACGATAAATGCATAGCGAAGATAATGGCCCTGTCAACTTACCTTATATATACCTGAGCATATAACTGTACATAAAAAGCTAGTATTTATTCTTAGATTTGGATTACAGCAATACTTTCCACACGTTTCTTAAAAACTTGCCGGTACATATTCACATATTTATATAATTTGTCAACGATTTGTTTCTGCAAAATCTTCCACATTATTGTCTTAGTAAGTACTTGATTGCGGCATGTTCATTAGTAATTTAAGCACCAGGAAACGGGATATGTTCAGACAAAGAGGATTCATGTAAATTTCCGTCATAACCATACGCTGAAAGTAATACTTATCTGCATATTTATATCGTGTATAAAGAATCAGCTGCAATTCAATGGTTTATTTCTTTGTTTATATAATATGTCTTTTAAAGAGCTAGCTTCTGCATCCCGCTGTCGAGAATTATAATGTTAATTATTTTTCGACATTAACAGTAACTGACAGACTCCTTTTACTTTGCAGACTGTGGCCTCACAAGGGAAGACATTATTGGAATACGAATCCTTATATGGTCTGTTTAATCATAAGATAAACAACTTGAAAGTTTAATTTCTGTATAAGCCTTAAATAGTTCAAATATTTCAAAACCAAAACACGTTTTGTAACATAAGAAAAGACAAAACCTCAATAAATGGAAATTCTGAATATCGAAAATTAAATCAATAATTCATACAAACAAAATCGATATTTGTTTGTTCTAGAGATTTCAGTTTTACATTAAATATTTTGCCAAATTTACCACGATGTAACTACATATATGGCTAATGATATTATATGGGGTTATGATAATTCACTAATTTAAAGAGGGACGAAAGATACCAGAGGGACAGTCAAACACATAGATCGAAAACAAACTGACAACGCCATGGCCAAAAATAAAAGACAAACAGACAAATAATAGTACAGATTACACAACATAGAAAACTAAAGACTAAGCAACACGAACCCCACCAAAAACTGGGGGTGATCTCAGGTGTTCCGGAAGGGTAGGCAGATCCTGCTCCACATGTGGCACCCGTCGTGTTGCTTATGTTATTACAAATCCGGTAAATAGTCTCATTCGGTAAGTCACATTCGTGAAAAGGGAAGGGTATTGTAGTTACGACATAAGGAACATATCCGATATCATCTGTGAAACGGTTATTCCATAATGGTCAACCAACTCGTGATGGCGTCTGTAAAATTTACGAAGGGATGATTTCAACTTCACCATTTGGAACTCTTGGCTTAATAGCTTCCTTAAAGTTCGCAAGTACCCAAGATACAAGAAACAAGCATCAAAACTTTGGTTAAAAATAAAGTAATGATAAAAAAGAACAGTACTCAAAACACAACTCATGAAACTTTTGGGTCTGGCCAAAATTAAGCTATTTAATCGACATGACCGTTAATAATCAAGTGCTTTTGCAGATGCTGATATTCCCGAAATTGAACGATGGAAGCAAAATAGTAAAGATTTTATCAAAACAGACATTTTTACTGATATATTAGAAATATTTGAAGACCAGCATTGTGTACTGTTATCTGGAGTTTCCGGAATGGGGAAGACCCTTACTGCACAGAATTTAGCATTGCAGTTATGCTATGAAAAGGGATACAGAATAGTACCGTGCAGTAATGTTAAAGACATCAAAAATAGATTTAAAGATAATATTCGTCAAGTGTTTTTTATAGATGATATTTTTGGGAAATATACAGCAAATATCAAGTATATTGAGAACTGGATGAGAATTGAGGACTTTGTCAAATATATTCTATCTAAGGGACTGTCAAAAGTATTAGCCACTTGTCGTACAGAAATCTTTAAACAGGAAAATGTTCAAAAAGTGATAAAGTCATTTCAGAAACCATTTGATTTAACAGGGAACTATTCATCTGAAGATAAAGTCAAAATAGCCCGAAAATATCTCAAAGAGAATGACAGATTGTTAACAGATATTGTAATAAAAAAAGAATTTTCCCCATTAATGTGCTTTCTATTCACTCAGCATGACGTCTTTGATGTAAATGAGTTTCTAAACAGTCCATACAATATGTTTTCTGATGAGTGGGATAAACTGAAAATTTTTGACAGAGAGAAACTCTGTGTATTATTACTTTGTGTTATAAACAACGGCACTATCACCGAAACTAATTTTGATGTAACAAACAATTTAGAAATTAAGGAAGAAATGAAATTTAAAATCATTTTTGATTGCTGCAGATTAGGACGTGACACATCTCTCTCAGCAATTAAAGACAAACTGGACGCTTGCGTTGACACTTACTTTATTAAAGTAGATAAAGAATACAAAGTTATACACGATAAAATGTTTGACTTTTTATGTGATTACTTTGGTAAATCATTAGTCGCGCCGATTCTGAAATTTGCAGATGATAAATTAATATCTGAACGTGTACAACTAGAGTCACTACAAAAACCACATGGTGAGTTTACAATAATTATTTCTTCGACTGATGAACAGAAATATTTAGATAGGCTTAAATTGGACCTTAAAAATGGAAAAATACATTGGTGTTTGAACAATGTGCAAATGAGATACAAAGAGTACAGAGAAAAGTTGTTAGATGTTATGAAAGATATAGATGATGACGTTAAAAGGAGATGTATTGATATCAAGGATGACAATGGGATTAACGCCTTCATCATTTCGTGTATGCGTGGTTATGAAGAAATTGTTGATCTTTTTATTTCTGTGGGAGCTGATGTTGATGCACAAAATGGATGGTTCACGCCATTGACAGCTGCGTGTCGGGAAGGACATTTACGCACGGTCGAAATCCTACTGGATAACGGATCGAACTTAAACGAAACTAATAAAAATGGCGAAACACCAATTTATACTGCATGTTTTGGTGGGCATTACAGTTTAGTTAAACAACTAATAGATAAACATGCTGATATGAATAAAAGAAATAGATATAATCGCACACCCTTGTATGTTTGTTGTTTAAGTGGTCATGAAAGCATAGCACGACTTTTGATTGAAAAAGGAGCAAATGTTTGCGAATGTAGCGATTCACTAATAGTTGCTAGCCATGGTGGCTATGACAAAATAGTTGAAAACCTAATTTTAAAAGAAGACTGTTGCATAAATAGTGTCGATACGAGCGGGAAAACTGCTTTATTTATTGCATGCGAGGAGGGCTATACAAGGATAGTGAAGTTAATCATTGATAATAATGCCGACATTTTTACAGTCGATAATGATGGAAAAACGCCACTTCATGCTGCCTGTTATGGTGGACACAATGATATAGTCAGAATGTTAATAAACAAAAATGCAGATGTAAACATGCTTGATGTGGATTTAGAATCACCTTTGCACAAAGCTTGTAGGAAAGGCTCTGTAGACTTAATACAAACACTGTTGGAATATGGAGCAGATATCAACCATCCGAATAGAGACGCACACACCCCTTTACATTTGGCAAAGACAGAGGGTGAAATTGTGGATGAACGCATTTTGAAACCTTTAGGGGAAGACGAAATAGGACCAAATAAAGATTCAAATGTAAAAGAAAACAGAAAAGATAAACTTCAGAAACAAGACACTACCAGCAATTTGATTAGAAATGGATGGACTCCTTTATACGAAGCATGTGTACAAGGAGACATAGAAACTTTTAAGTCGCTGATAAAAAATAGGGCAAATGTAAACATGCAAACGAACTTTGGTGAAATGCCTTTGGTTGCTGCTTGTCAACAAGGCCATGGTTTCTTGATAAAAATGTTACTAGAAGAAAGAGCAGATATTAATCAAGCGTTGTATTGTGCTGTTCAAAAGGACTGTGATAGAGCGGTTAAAATTCTTTTATATAAAGGGGGAGATTTAGGCTATAAAGGAGTTGATGGGAAATCGCTCATAACATTGGCATGTAAACATGGTTCAATTAAGGCAATCAAAATTCTGTCAGATCAAGGTGCGGATTTTACAGAAAGAGATGTTAATGGGAGAACATTGATACACGTTGCATGCGGTACAAATAGCGTCGAATTACTCCAGTTTCTAATAGACAAGGGCTTAGATCTTAACATACCTGAAAAAAATGGAAAATTTGCGCTTTTTGTGTCAATATACAAGGGGTATTATAATGTATCAGAATTTCTAATAGAAAACGGTTGTTCTATAGCAATATTAGAGGAAGACACAAAAACTGCTTTGCTATCAGTATTTGAAGCTGGAAATAAGGAGTTGTCCAAGTTGCTTGTAACTTACGGTCACACAGAAAAGTTATCAAACTTTAATGAAACTATGTTATATTATGCGTGTAGGTTAGGTCTGTGTGATAAAGTAAAGATGCTCCTACAAAATGGGACTGATATTAATAAAAGATATAAGTATGGATACACCCCTATGATATTGGCAGATATTGGTGGAAATGATGATTTATCAGAGTATCTTCAAAATCACATATGCTTTGACAATCATACAAAGAGTACTCTATTCTCTCACGAAAGTACAAGAATAGGATATATTATGGAAACAGAGGATTATGCCATATTGAACCACGATCATATTAGGAGGAGAGAGCACTATGAAACTGACTATAGATTGAAAGAACTGTATCAGGCATGTATAAGTGGAGAATTTAAATTACACATTTATGAAATGTTATATAATGAGGTACAGGTTAATTGTTTTTTCAGCCCCAACGAACCCTATGTATCCACTTGGTTTAAACAAACTCCGCTGTGTTTGGCATGTAGAAAAGGACATTCGGAAGTAGTCAAAATACTGTTAAAATATGGAGCAAAAGTAGACTTGACTGTTGAAGAAGATGATTTTCAAGAAGATGATGGTTTGTCTCTGACAATTCGATATGGATACACTCCATTGTTTGCTGCATGCCAACGAAAATATTATGAAATAGTTGATATGCTTTTAGAAACAGGAGCAAACTTAAATAAAGCTTTGTATGACGCATGCAGAGAAGGTTACTTGGACACTGTTCAATTTCTTCTACAAAAAGGAGCGCAAGTTAATTTAATTGGTCGGTATGGTCAAACAGCTTTGTATGGTGCGTGTATTAGTGGACACTATACCATAGTTGAATTTTTGATCGATCAAGGGGCTGTTACTGATATAAAGGTTCAAAGAGCAAATATTTTAAACAAAAAAACATGCCTTCATGCTGCATACTTGTATGGCAATCATAAAATAGTACAACTTTTAATAAATAGAGGGGCTTCTGTTGATACAGTTGATAGTTTTGGGCGAACTTTGCTTCATAAAGCGAGTAGAGACGGAAACGACAAAATTGTTAAAATACTTGTGGATAAAGGGGTTGATATAAATGCCTCTGACTCGTACGGCTCTACACCTCTCATAGCGTGTGTATTACAAAGTATTGAGGATAATCATGGGGAATTTTATTTCCATCGTAAAATGGAAAAATATAAGTTATATGAGGATTTCGGTCAACTGCATGAAGATTATCCCAATCAACTATACGAACATAATGATCATTTTGGATCAAAATACAAAATTCTAACCGAAAATCACTATAAAGTCATTCAGCTACTTATTGAAAATGGGGCCGATATCAATAAGGCTGATAAAATAGACAGAACACCATTGTCTTTAGCTAGGAAGATCGGGGATATGAAATTGACTGAAATGTTGTTACCTCAAAAGCGTTTACCGATTGAAGAGAACAATGTGCAGGGATGGAACCAGGTTTCTATAAAAAGGAGTAGGCGTAATTTCAAAAAAAGTAAACACTAGTAAAAGTGAAGTTAAACCTTATTGGCTGATTTTTTGTTAATAATGATATATTTTGGATTTGGGGAGGGGGGGGGGATCAATGTAAATTATATTCATACAAGAAAAGAAGGTAATGTTCTGTGTGTTACTTATTCAAAAATACCTGTATAAGAAAAGTTCAAAGTTAAACAAGCAGAATTATCAGCTAGCTTATCACTGGTTCCCCATCTGACAAAACAAATAGTGGATCTAGATATAACTATTTTTGGATTGGTAATTATAAGTAAGGACATTATATGATGTACACAATGTTGATTTATATGTACAAGTTTGTTTTAGTACTCTTATACTGATATGGGTATGACAATATTCTTCTTGATACAGGTTTTTGGTTTGAAAAAGAAAATGTTAATAAGCATGTCACAATATATAAGAATGAGCCGTTCAACCTATAGCTAATTTCAAGAACAAAATCTTCCAGAATGTACATGTGTAAATAAAGGCAACAGTACTATACCGCTGTTAAAAAGCCATAATTCGATTGAGAGAAAAAAAAAATCCGGGTTACAAACTAAAACTCAGCGAAACATATCAACTATAAGAGAAAAACAACAAAACAACAGAAACACTGAAGTGCAACAAAAAAACGACAATGCAACACACACAGAAACGAACTATAAAATAGTTTTTATTTAAGGTGAATCAAAAGCCCCATGTGTGAAGAGTTTCGGTTTTTAATTATCGTTTGAGAAAGATATGCTTCTTATAATTGACTACATATGGGGGGAAATAACAGACTTTTTTTCAAATTTACTAAAGGATATACATTTATATTTTTATATATCACCCACTAGTTTTTTCGTCATACTTTAAAAATGATAAGGATATATTGAACAAGATATTATTAGTTACATGATGTGCTAGCGACCTAATACGATATATGTGGGTCAGTAAATTACATATGGGGTGAGAGCGAAGACGCCATATATATCGTATTAGGTCACTAGCAAACTGAGTAACGAATTTATTTTACCTACTATCTAAACATGTTAGATTTAGACTAGTGGCCTATCAAAGTGATTAAGTCTTCAATACTTGGTATTAAGAACCTAATTCCATTTGTCTAAACAAAAGCAAATGCCAAAATTAACAACAACTTGTTAGCTTTAAATGTTTTTTATTAATTTATTTCAATCGTTCATCATCAATTTCTTCGTCTGTTGAAACCTTTCAGATTTTTCCTCAACACCGTGTTGTTTATATAAAGGGGCAACACACCTCTACTAGTCGTGTATTGAAATAAGCCCCGCCTATTAACCTAGTAAAAAATATACATGGTCTTCACGCGGTTGCTTGAAACCAATGATATTTCTATAAATGTATAGGAGGAAAGATATTGACAAATAGTATTTTTGCTGGAGGGTTGAATACACGCACAGGCACAAAATCATATCATATTTTCAGTGATAAAAAATGTTATTCGCCACTTCAAGATGAAAAGGTATCTATACTTCATGTTTTAGGAAGAAATAGTATGGATAATATAGCATCACCTCGAGCTATCGTACAAGTGAGAGGTTTGGCTAGCTTTAAAACCAGGTTCAATTCACCATTTTCTACATAAGAAAATGTCTGTACCAAGTCAGGAATATGACAGTTGTTATCCATTCGTTTGATGAGTGTGACCTTTTGATTTTGCCATCTGATTAGGGACTTTTCGTTTTGAATTTTCCTCGGAGTTCAGTATTTTTGTGATTTTACTTTTTAAATGACCTCTGTATACAGTCAGGTTTAAACATATGAAATAGTCGTTCAACTGATGATTTTGTTGGGCAGCTCGCTTGCCACACAAGTCAAGGTAGTAGTGTCGTTGATTATTTTATAACTTCAGAAAATTCTGTTCTATTATTTCTTTCCACTTTTCTTTAGAAAAAACTAATGATTTTGCTATGATTGTCATCATGAATTTTTGTTGTTGTTCTTCAGACACTTTTATTTCCTTATGGTATATGATATATCTCAGTTTATGCGCCTATGAAAATTACCCCTCTTTCTGTGGTCTTAAATAGTGTAATAAAGGGGCCTAATTTAGGATTTTATGCATCTTATATACGTATTTTTACTTAAATCATAGTATTGAGCTTCGAGATATTTGTAATCTTTTAAATAATACACAAATTTTCATAAAACAGTCGATTATGGTAGGTGAAAATACAAGTGGATCTATTTTGTGCAGAAGCATAAATTCGATCGAAAAAAAAATCCATAAAAAGGTAAAATATTGATATGTTAAAATCATTAATTTGCATTTTCTGTCCCGACGATAGTTTTTTGTGAAAAAAAATCTTTAAAAAAGGGGCAATATTTCCATCGAAAAGAGAAAGTCAAACGCACTTTTTTAGGTTCGGGCGTGTTTGAGTAAACTATTCTGTCTTGAAAACGTGTAAAGCAGTGATATTTGATTGATCTTCTCCTAACAGATTCTATCATTTTTGTGTATTGAGGCTACAAGTTTAGGTGTTTACATTAAAAATTCACAATGCTTAAACATGAAATATATGGGTCAGGTGAATTACCTCTCTAATGAGTCATAATAACAGAGTAGATGTGTTCGAATCACAATTTTTTTACTAAAAGAACTCGACGACAGACTTTAGAAGTGGATCTTAAAAATGCATAACTTCAACAAAACTTTATTTGTTTTTGTGTGTTATCTAGGGTTATTAGTCTTTAAACTCTGAAAAATTTTGGTCTGCCCTTCCACGAAATATTTAATTAGAATTTTTTTAAATGTTTTTAGACATTTTCAAATTCCCAATGACAACCGATCAGACAATAGTTTTGAGGTGACTAAATGCAGAAAAGTACATTAACTGATGCTCTATAGCTAGTAGATACATTTTTGTTTTGAAATACAACTGGCATATAAGGATCGTAACGGTGTTATTATGATATATTTATCGGTTTTCATGATGTAGGCAGTTGTAGTCAAATAGTCCGTTTTATGTGTGTTATTGTTTGTTTTTGTAGTACGTTGGTGTTCCTTTTGTTCCTTTGTTTTCCTTTAATAGTTGATGTGTTTCCCTCGATTTCGGTTTGTAACACGGATTTGTTTTTTCTAAAACGACTTATGACTTTTGAAAACCGGCATACTACTGTTGCCATTATTTATTCATGAGCTAAATTGGCAGCGCGTCAACCCTATAATGGTTTCCATTTGTAGGATTGTAAAATTTAGCTGGCGTAATGGAAGATAACGTTGACGAAGTAGAATCCTGACTGTTTGTATATAGAAATATAATTGTTTGCTGCATAATATGAACGTCACTGTAGTATGGACAAACCGGATAGTATTGTATACGGATAGAATATATCATACAATCTTGTAACATTATAACTTACACCAGTATTTATATTCATATTTTTTAGTATGAGGGTTTAATTGACTGTGATATTGATAAATTTTATAAGCATATGCTATTGCTATCGAAGGGTCATTTTTCCAACATATATTTGTTTACGTAATAAAAAAGATGTCAAGAATATGTTTTATGGAGCCCCGTAAAATATGACTGTAGAAAAATAAGACCACCTTGGCCTTAGCACAAACCGTCTTGTTGTTGGACTTTAGTTCCAACTACGTGTTATCATCGTACAAGTGCAAGCTATCTGGACCATGTGTTGTAGATTGATTTCCTTTGTAGTGAAACATGAAAAAGGAAATGCAAGTCTGTTTTAGGACGAGTCAGGTGTTGGTTGTGACTGTGATCTGTTCTGCTGTCTAACATGTTTTGACAAAACGTGTCATCCTTTTAGTGTATTATTTGATAAGCAAATTAATTTATTTGATTTCCGTCATCCAATATTCCAAAAACTCAATCATGATCAATATGTCACAGTGACCTACTTTAAGATGGAATGAAAGTCAGACTGTCTGGGCCATGTGTTGTAAATTGATTGTCTTTGTAATAAAACGTAGAAAAAGAAATGTAAAAATAGTAAGATACGGTCTGATTTCCAATGAGACAATTATCCACCCAAGTTCAAACTAAGACGATATAAGCAATAATAGGCAACTATAAGGCCTTCAACAATGAACAAAAAATATGAAATAATTCTATTGAGAAAACTAACGTCCTAATTTATAACTATACAACTTGAGAAAAACTAATAAATCAGACATGAACCAACGACAAAAACTGAACCACAGGCAGCTGAATTAAAACAGGCATATGAAGAGTTTTACGAGGTTAAACATGTGTGTAGGTGCCCAGCCCTCCCGTAGATTGGGACAGTGGTTTTACGACACAACATAAGAACAAACTATAATAATCAGTTGAAAATGGCTTAAGTCATCAGATCATGACAAAGCAGAACAAACATCTAACGAAAATACAGATCGGACATGACGTGTATTTTTACATCTATTTTTCGGTTGAATCGGATGTTTGTGGTTGCTGTGGTCTGTGGAAAAATAGTAATACTAAATCCAAAAGACATAAGATTCAAAGCAAAACAATAGTCAACCAAAAAAAATTCTCGAAAACAGGATTAATCCTCACGAACAAAATGTTCACTATTGACTCTGGTCTAGCTGTTAAAATTTTATAAATATCAAGATTTATCAGGCTAATGATTATTGTTAAAACGTACATAGATGGTGTTAGTGAATTACCAAATCCATAAATCATTATTAAATGAAAACATGACCAAATGTGAGATTTTGAAATGAATACTTGTAATAATTTCTCATAACAAAATCTCAATAAGGTACTGGCTAAAATAGGAACAACACAGACAATGAAGAAAACAACTGAACCAGAATAAATTACAGAAAGCTGAAGCAAATGCACAACCATCACATTTTGAATTCTTACGGATTGTAGAGTAAAGCACTTCCTTCACATCTAATAAAACACATATTATTTATACAAAAGAAAAGTGTTCGTTCATATATGACTAAATGACAGGTTTGTTTCTACCATACTTATGGAAATTATTCTTATGCAATTCCAATATTGTTAGCCTATTCATAGATATGCCATTAAAATATTTTAAAATGGTGTTTTTAAACTTTTCGATAAAAACCTTCCTTTAGCATCATCTTTGTACGCTATTATCTTTAAATAATTTAATTTTTGATGTAACGTTTCTTCTGATTGGCTGACAACGTTTTGTTTATCATATCATAGACATAATTTTGTCATGTGACCGTAACGTCATCAACGTTTTGTTTCATGATTTACGCCAGGAAATGTTTAATAGCAATAACTCACAAGTTTGAATCAAAATTCTGTAGACGGATTTTTCAGAAGGCATCAAATGTAAATGCATATCTCTTTCAAAACAAATATACGTAATCTTTACATTACACACATATTCAGGATATTGTATATTTAGAAACATTTTATTTACTTTTGAATAAGAATTAAGTAGTTTGTACATTAGTATATGCCAAACCAAATTTGCATCAATTCAGTATATTTTGAACTTGATTTATTGAAGATAACTGATGTGTGTGGCGTAACGCTTACACTGCAGTGGTACAAGGTTTTTAATGGCAATTGTAGACGTTGTAGTAGCAACGTCAT